ATGAACTTTTTCAAATGCACTTAGCTCTCTGCCACCTGTTAGAGACTTGTTTGTTGCCTGGCTGTGGGAATATTGACAAGACATTTGGTATTACTCTAGTGTTTGGATCTTTTCATGCGGTATAATGGCTTTGTTCCTAACAGCTTTTAATACAAATTTTAGGTTTATCTTTTTGACACACTTGGACAAACGTTCAAGAAGAGGGAAAAATGGCTGGCTCTCCAGTAAATACGTCCCAGGTCAGTGTCATGCCTGTATATTAAAACACTGCAGGTCTTTAATTCTGTGTTTATGCTATCTAAAAATGTCTGTTTTTTCTTTTCTTCTGATAGATAAGATTAACTGATTAATGGGCTGGAGAGAGGTGGCCCAGAGGTTAAGAGCACACTGGCTGTTCTTCCAGAGGTTCTGAGTTCAATTCCCAGCAACCACATGGTGGCTCTCAACCATCTGTAATGAGATCTGATGCCCCACTCTGGCATGCAGGCATATATGCAGGCAGAACATTGTATATATAATAAATAAATAAACCTTTAAAAAAATTAACTGTTTAAGAATACATTGCCTATGTAACACAGCCTTCCGGGCATCCATCTTTCCAGCTTATATGTGTAAGAGTCAAAGAATCTAAGACCTGCAATTCTAAGACGTGCAGTTCTGAAGATGCTTTTCACTTGTGACGGATGATCAGAGAGAAATGTGTGGATACCCGATAGCTACGGAGGATGGATGTGTGTCTTATGTACACATATCACATAACAGTGAGGAAGGCCATGTTCCACAGAGGCTCTGTTGAGAGATCTATCAGATTTCCTTAAGCCAGTTGTTTGAAAGTGCACATTCAGATAACCCGGAGTGCCTCGCCGCTGTCACGGAACTGTTTATGAAAGGGTAGTCTTAGAAGAGACCCCACTGTCTCTGATCCTTCTGCAGAATATTTAAGCTATCTAGAGTACAGGACACTGTAGTTCTACGTATCGTCTCGGCCTAAAGCAGTGGTTCTCAACCACTGGGCCGTTATTTCTGCTGTAAACGACCCCCTTGGCAAACCTGGAACTGTATTAAAGGGTCACAGAACTCAGGTCCTAAAG